CAAATTTATTCTATATTTTATACTAATTGCCGACTGATTTTATGATAATTTCTAATACAAGTATATTGAAAAGAATCTAAAAACAAAAGATCAAAACGAATAAGTAAATGTTAATTATAATTCGAGATTAATTAACGTATCAACATCCTCGTTTGTCTTTATATATTGACCTTTTTATCATTTATATCGATTAGAAATTTAATAAAGTTTTTACTTCTGAATGTCCTAAAAATAGAGCATTAACTCAGAGTCGAACGTTTCATTTACGACGGAACACATTTTACGATTTCAACGATTAATATATGTACATATATATATATATATATATATATATTGCAAAAATCGAAAGCGACACATATGGCCTTCGAAGCATATCGAAGTATCATCATTTTCGTCAGGTGTTTATCTCGCTCTGCTTCCTCCCTCCGGGAGATCTTTCTATTCTTAGCGCTTTATTTATTCATTGTTGATCGCGCGGTAATTTCGCGCCTGCCTTCCTCATCGTTTTCACGCTGATGCGGTGTTAAATTTGGCTGGCCGACGACTAAGTCGGTCAATCGAGACCCGGCATTCCTTTCTGAAACGTGAACCGCGACAGCCAGGTGTGACTTATGTCCGTCGTTTCCGGAACACGCCGTTTTCCCGTATGTGCGCAACGCGTATAACACAATAGACCCACACGTTGATCGTTCTCAGATCCCGTTCGCAGGACTTGCAGATAAAAAAACGCAGGCGGAAATTAGTTCGTAGAACACATCATCTTGATGCGCGCGCGAAATATATATACTGTTATTATTTATTGTGTTGTTTCATTGTGTAATTAAAAACTTGAAGCGCTCGGGACAAAATTACAGGATTAATTTCCTTATTAAAAACCTGCGCGCGGAGAATCTCAAGTGCAAGTTAATTTATGTCTCTGCTAATGGCAATCGCGCGCGTATGCATCTTCATTCGCGCTTCAATAGTATAGTAAACACGATCGTGGGATATAGTCCAAGGACGTTAATGATCGCGACGACAATATATACCGCTCTCTCAAAGCGATCTTTTGTGGGTTTTCTATGCGGTCGCGTGTGTTGGGCAACACACGCGTGTCCACATATACGGCATCTCTCATTGAAAAGCGAGACGCAATTATTGATACACTTGATCGACGTAATAATCGTCGGCGCACGTTTTTTCTTGCGCAATTATTGAAGTTGAGGTTCGCGCGCAACACATTTGCATGCCGCTTCGTGATTTGCGCATTTGTAAAGAATGAACTTACGTGTGAGAGTTCAAGTGGCAAAAAAAAAAAAAAAAAAAAAAATTATCTTTCTTAACACCACCGTTAGACGCTCAATAGAAATGGAATATGGTTCCTGCGAGGTTCAGATTATTTTTAGTTTTGCATTATGTAAGTTGTTATTGGAAATATATAATAATAAACAATTTCTTGCAGATTCTTTTTGTAAAGTTTTGTTTTAGTTAAACTTGTAAAAAATAAGTGGCGTTTAACGTCACGTATTAAACAAATAAAATACGTAACATATAACAATTGTTATTGTTATTTCTTACGTATTATATTCATAATCTTATATTATATTTAATCTTCACATATATTTTCTTTCGAAGTTTGAACCTAAAATACCTATTTGTGTGCCGCGCGTATCTGCATTTTATACGTCACTTCGACATGTGAGACACGCGAATGCACCAGGCAAGCAAAAATTGCACAATACTTAAAGTTGGTCGCGTGTCTTAGCGCTGTCGTAGCAAATTCGCGCCGAGGTGCTCGCCGAGCGCGAACACCTGCATCGCGACGATTTCCCCATTAACCACGATATAGATAAAAAGAGAAAGAAAAACAAAACGAGGATTTCGAGTTTCGCTCCTTAATGGTAAAAGTTAAAGAACGCGCTTTTCTATTTTTCCGCGCCGGAGAGCCTTTTAATTGTCAAGTCTTTTATGATCGAAATGGAACATCACGCGTGCGTGTCTCGAAGAAAACCAACAACATTGGCAGCCAATGATCACGCGGCGCTCTTAATTAAATCAAACTTCAATTAAATTAAATCAGCCACGCGAATCACTACAAGTTGCGTTTTTCGCAGAAGAAGAAGAAGAAGACCACGCCCGTTTTACCTTCTGGACGAAGAGCCGCGCTAAGTAATAAATATTGCAACCGAGAGTAACGGAAATCCGCTTGCGATACGTTGGTTGCACAGAGAATTTAACGCCTACCCGTGCGTTTTGCACCAAAAAAAAAAGTCTGAAATCGAGTTGCGATTCTCTCACGCGCTTTGAGCGACCTTCGCGCGAAGGGTGGCACGTTCTGACACGCCGCGGCGAATCGACGGATCTCTCTCTCTCTCTTGCGCGCGCGCGCGCGCGATTCGATCGTAAAGGAGATTATTCGCGATAAGGGATTTCGCTCAAAGCGTACGTGCCGACGAATTCGAGAGACGTATGGACGGAAAGTGTGGCGGGGCCTATTGATTTTAAGCGGAGGGTCGCATGTCTGGCTCTCGACGCAGCCCGCATTTTGCGTCGTATTAGCCTCGCAACGTGTGCCGGTCCTTTATAACACAACAATTTTTTTTTTCGCTATAAATGTAACATTAATTCAGTTAATTTTTAATTGGTCTGATGCAACATATCGAAAATAAATTTTGCAATTGTATTCTTATGCGTTTTGCAGTCGCGCGAGAGAGACTTGTGTTCTAATTATGCTCGAAATGATGTAAGAGAATAATTTTATTAATTTTTTGGTACAACTTGAAGAAAAAAATAAAGATAGAAAACTTGCGACGCGGTCAGCGTTTCATAATTGATGGACTTTTCGAGGACTTGTCGCGAGAGAGAGTTAAATCTCTTGAATGCTAATACCTCGTTTTAAGATTTAATGGAATTCTATCGCCTTCAAAGACGCTCTCGCTTGAGAAGATCTCACTTAAAAATCAGACGATGACGCCGCGTAAACGCGACATATTTTCAGCTCGTGTGGCGTCGAAAATAACCGCACGCCGATCTTCAACATATGAAACACACATGTGTTTCTCGGCCGCGGCCGAGGAAACTAATAACTACACTCCGAAGATGACAAGGTCTCTCGCCCACGTAAATTACGTCTGTGGGACTTTGAGACCGCTGTCTCCCGACACAGAAAAATCGAAGGTCGAGGTAGCCGAGTTTCTCCATTTCCCGTAAAGTCTCATCACCCATGTGTTGCCCACGCTCTGCTTTCTGTTCCACATATCCAGTTTTATATACATGTACACAAGATGTGCCGCATTAAGTGTTTAAAGAAAAATCGTCTGAATACTTTTTACGAAATATATAATAAGATAATAGAGCAATTTGAGGGAAAAATATCGAGAGAGGGGTTAAAGTGAATTAGATCACGTCGCGTTATGTATCGAATTACTACTTTCCGATAAACGAAGCGACAAAGAACCCACCAAGATCGTTGACTCATAAGCCTCGGGGCAGCGTGAAGCTTAAATGGCGCGATACCCGAAGGGTGTTCCACGGGGTGTGAAGGGTGTGTGCGAAGCTCAGCCGCAAGGGCTCGTTGCCAGGTTGGTCTCGTGGGGCGCAAAGAGGTCTAGACTTGCCGTCGTGTTTTCCGGAACGTCAGCGGCGGCGGCTCACGAAGCCTTCATCGTGGAATTTTTTATTCTTTTTTCTCGACACGCAGTCTTCATTCGCGTCATCGTCCTTTATCCAGAGAGAGGGTTGGCTTTTATGATCTCCCCCGTATGAGCGCACGGGGGCGAAAAGCACGGACGTTGCGAATCCTTTTTGAAGAGAACACGTAACTTTCGCTCGTCGAGAGTCGCGGCAGTCGCGTTTGTGTGCAAATGCATACGCGATGCACCGGTTCTTTCTTTCTTCCTCGCAATTTGTTCCTCCAAGAAGATAAAGATCGCGCACGCTGTGCGTGACGTCAGTGAGTGAAACAAAAGGTTGCAAACTAATAATACGCTGAGTTGCGTGTAATACTTTCTGATTTCGATTTATTAGCCGGTGAGTTTGTTGATTGCCAATTAAATCTAAACGTGCCGATTTGTTATCGCGATATCTGCCAAACATATCTGATCATACGTTCGCAATCAATTCGCATTGCAGTTCTTCAGAATATTATCTATGTCGACTTGATTTCGCCACAAAAGTGGGTAAGTTATTTTTACAATTGCAGTTTCCAAACGGTCAATATAAGAGCCTGATGGACACACAGGATGTTGTAAATTTTTATGTTTTGATTTGGATCTTTTCTTTGGCAGATCAAAAATCAAAATCTGAATTAAAAATATTCTGTGTTAGCTCAAACAATTCAATCATCTGTACTGTTTTACATCAAGAAAAACCACATGTCATGTGAAACGTATCAAAAGAATAAAAAAACAATGTAACAATAAATAATAGTCCAATAAAATTCCAGTGCGGAAAACTAGTCCAAAAGTAAGAAAAAAAAAAAAATAGTTGGAACGAGTTCAAGCTTCGCATCATTTCTGACACATGTCTCACGCGACACAATAATTTTTTTTTTACTATTGTTTTTAAATCGATTGTTTTTCAATAGTTCAATGTGTTGTTTAAGATACAAAATAAAATACTCTCCCCAAGTCTTCTTTCCTTTTGCCTTCCAATAACATGCCATATTGGGTCATGCGCATCGCGCATAAGTACATGCTCTAAATCCAGCATTGGCGGAAGTGCGTGAACCGTCGCGCATCGAGCGCGTTGATTGATAATGCCGTAGTACACACAGCGAAGTACGCACATTAATTGCGCATGCCGGATGTTGGAGTCAACTCGCGTTGCGCACGTTCATATCAAGGACAGGGCGAGTCACGGTCGGCGACAGTAGAGGAGTCGCTTTAAAAAAAAAAAAAAAAAAAAAAAAAA